TTACACAAACACACATGCTGGATTTAAATGAGTATAGGGGGCTGGGAATCAGAATCTTTATATAAAGAGGCTTTTTACTGCTAATGGGTTTACAAATTCCAGTGTTTTGAGACTGAGCACCCCCTGTTCCCATCTCTCCTGGCTCCTGTATTCTGTTTACTATTGTTTATTTGGCATGTTTACACAGCCACAAGTGCACTGCCACTGTGAGAGAACCATCTTATTGGCCAGTTTTGAACTGGGCCACCTTTTCTTCTCTGTGTCATTCGTTTTATCCAACTTACTATCATTGATGCTTTCTTATTGAGGTTTTTGGGCAGCTCAGATACTACTCTCCTGCTTTTTCTGGTTATTTTTGTTTCTTTGGATTGTTTACACGGGCAGAATTTGAACACAAACTGTGGGACCAGGTTAATCTACTGCTTTGTCATTTTGAATCTTACTGACTTGCTTTCACAGAACAAAAGCTTTGGCTATTTTTTTCTAATGACCAGTTTTGCTTGGATTTTGCTGCTGACTACTATTTGATGTAAGGGTTAATGAAGGGCACAAATGCAGGGAACAAAAGCTTGGACGGTGCGACAACCAGATTTTGCAAACATCTTTGTTTGGACTTTGCTTTTGGAGTATTTTTTTGATTTTTGGGTATACATGTAACTAAATTTGGAGGCCCTTTAATTTGAGTGAGTTGTATGCTAGATATAGGGACCCTAGGAGAGTTTTGTTGTATTTTTTTGCTTTGTAGGGGGACCCTTTCATCTTTTTCTCTATACCCCTTTTTGGAATTAATAAAATTACCGGGCTTCCCTAAAAAAAAAAAAATATGTAGGCGTTAATTTGTTGAAGCTACACATTCAGTGAGTTACTAAGGGTGTTTTTGGTGCCACAAGTTCGCTTGTGAGCCTAAAGGGTGAAAGGATGGTGACTAGGGAAGGTGAAGACACCACTTGTCTTAAGCTACAAGAGCAATATGAGGAATTAGAGACTATGTTACCCTTCTGCTTAGCTCCTTCAGTTCTCAAACTTGGTGTTAATTGGCCTTCTCTTTTAAGGAAACGAAGGTTCTGAAGTCAGCCAAGGTGGTCGAGCTATCAAATTAGTTGGGAAAGTTATTAGTTTAGGAGACATAATCGGCTATATTGTTCTATGCGCAACAAGACCAATTATTAGAGAATAAGGGCCAGCTATTTAATCAAGTATCATTTCTTGCAATGAGCATGGAAACGGATATGAAACTAGCAATAACTTAAAAAAATCATCCCCAAATGGCTAGCAACATTGCTAATGGCGAGATCCAAGATTCGAAGTCAAAGGTCATCCTTCAAAATGCCTGAGAACCGTTGAGGTCAAACCAATTCCTTGTTGGAATTGAGGTCATGCTATGCCACGAAGCAAGATACCGGAGATTATCTATTAATATTCTCAACCTGATACTTTTTTTTTCATCTTTTTACATGTTTCTTAACGATGACTCGGGGGGTCGAACCATTCTTAAGATGTAAGAATTTTTAATGTATTTGTACAAAATTTTCTCTTATTTAAAAATATTTTAAATTTAGCCCCTTTGTGTCTTATTTTTTATTATTGAATTGTACTCGTTTTTCAGTTATTAAGTAGTCATCCTTTAGCATATTCTAAACACTATTTTCTAGTAAAAGAATATATTTCATTTTTTTCTTTATTCTAGTTTCTTATTACCTATTAGTCGAATAAAGCAATCGTTATTCATGATAAAAACTGTCTCGAGGCGTCTTCAAAAGATGCGCAAAAAGCCCTTATGATTATCAAGGATATTTATAGGTTGTACTCAACCTTGATGGTTGAGATGCCAGGATGACTTGAAAAATGTTAAATTACAGTTTAGAAAAATTTTCACCGCCCGACCATCTGTTATCACATTATTAATTCCAATTCGCTTGGTCAGGTAATGACAAAAATAGTAAAATACTTCATTAAAAATTGAATAAAATTTTCCTAACAAAATAACAACAAAGCAACTGAACGCTTTATAGTGCGCTATTACTAAATTTTGAAATGAATGAATTTAGTCATATAAATTGTACTTGCATCATAAAAAATATGAAAAAAGACATGAGAAAAATGGGTGTATAATTTCCACCAAATGCTCAGCTCCAATCTAAGTGAGATTAGAGAAAATTCACTTGGAATGAAGCATGTCCATACTAGTAGGGGCTCATTTGTTTAAGGAGAAAAAAAAAAACAGATAGGAAATGTAAACAAAACATCAAACTCAACAGATCCCGAAAGCTCTTAACTTGCTAGATCAACATTAATGGTACAATAATGCTTAGTTCAAAATGTGATGTGAGGACTATCACAAACTATATATCCAAAATTAAGGTATAATCCATGATTCATCACATAAATACAATATAATAAAATGGAATTGCTGAAAAAATGTCCACCTCATTAATTCTACTCTAGCATTGTTATTCAAAATCAATATTCCTAAATCGTATTAGGGGAGTGGCTTCCTAATTTTTTCCCCATGCCAAATCCTTAAATGGCCTTATATTAAAAGCATTTGGGCGTACCATTTTTTGTAAATATTCATAGCCAAAACTGAGGAAAATTTGACTGCTACAATTCTTCAATGCGTGTTTCCTAGAAACTCTTTTATGCATAAATGTTATCATCTTCGTCCTAAGAAATTTTATATATTATTTTGCTAAAAATAGACATTACTTCACAATCTTATCTTCAAGAGGGTACACAAATGAAAGATAAAAACTATAACCAATCCAATCGTAATCCTCCTGAACTATCTTAAGTTGAATCCTTGTGCACTCAAGGATAGCAAAATCAATAAATTTTGAAACATGAGTAGAACAGCCTAAATGCTAGTATCAGTGAATCTACTCCTGAATTGGTGTGTACCGCTGTTTAAACAAAATCTATATGACCTTTTAAGTATACACAAAAAAATAAATTATACTAGTCATAAATGATAGTTTAAAATACTACCAAAAATACTGTTGATGAAGACATGATAAGTTCTGATCCATCTCCCTACTGGCATATGGAATGTACTCGAAAGAACATTTAACTTTCTATTATTAGTAGAAAAGGCCCCAAAAATTATAAAAGCAATCATTATACATTATCAAGACAGGATTAAAACAACGATAGAAAAGAGGAACTAACGCTTAAGAAAAAACACACACATGAGAGATTGTTAACAAAACTAAAAGTAAAATTACTTTTCAATTTGAATGCCGGTTAAATGCTTTATTGAAAGGTATAAGGCAAGAGTGATTGCTAAACCATATAAGAAGACAAGATAGTATTGACTATTGGGGGGCAATTGCTTTTGTAAAAAGAATGAACTCCATAAAAATTCTAATATCTCTAGCAGCACATTTCAATCTGCATATTTAGAAATATGATGAAATAAACATCTTCTTACATGGTGATCAAGAAGAAGAAATTTACATGGGAATTCCTCCATAATATGAAGAAATGAGAAAGGTAACAAGTTGTGTGGATAATAGAGGAATGGTGATCAAGAAGATGAAATTTACATGGGAATTTCTCCATAATATGAATAAATGATAACAAGTTGGGTAGATAATAGAGGAATGGCAAAGACTTCCTAGGTTTAACATGCATTAAAATATAATTATACATAGAGCTTCCGATGCACCTTTAGAAGTAATAATAACAAAATATATAAATTTCCTAATGTGGCCCCCTTTCTTTGCATGCCTCCAATTTTAATTCTTGCTGTTTTTCGCTCTCTAGCCATTTATTTGTGGACATTGACATTCATGTTAGGTCAATCCACAAGTCTAAAATTGTAAATCATGGATCCATGAACTTCTACTAAGCCGTTTGGTTAGACCGGCAGCTTATAGCTTTTGTACTTTCATATTATTCTATAATCAACCACTATTTCATGTCCTCTTCATGCAATCATTACAGTCATTCTCATTCCATTTGGAGCCCGTTAAGCCTTTCCTACATTCTCCAACAGTATGTATAAACTAAATAAATCGGTATATGATCTTAAACAATCACCTAAATCTTGTATTGGAGTTCTGCCAAAGTAATTAAGGGAATTGGGTGGAAAAATCAAGGAGGGCATAACCTTAGCATCACGCATTCCACCAAAAAATTTTTATAACATAGTTGGTGCATATTGATGATATTATTGTCATAAGAACTAATATGTTAGAAAAGCAAAATCTCATATAATGCTTGATCAGGTTATCTGAGATAAAAAGGACTTAATAATTTAAAGCATTTCCTTATAATTGAAAAGAAGAATCCATTCCAGCTCTTGTTATCTCCAATCAAAATATTTAATCTATCTTTTGAAACTTTAATTGAAACAACTCAAATATTCAAAATAACCAGGCGAGGGATTTCAAGCCTTGCACTCTCTCCATCTCTATAAATAAAAAATTGAACTAGAACTACTCATTTCATTTTCATGCATAAAAAATTTAACGAACAGTCACTCCCCCTATCAAAGAACTTGACCATCCCAACCCCATCTTTCTTCATTCCCACCGCTCAATGTTGGGGATAAGGAGTACTATCAACAGCTAGCAAACGGAGTTGGCCAATAATTTGAGGTGATTGACAGCAAATATTTTTACTTTGATGACTATTAATCCAGAAAAATTGTCTAATACCAGTTCAGTAAAAGGTCCATAGTAGTATTAGAACTACTGGTTAGGAAACCTTAGCTGAACGTAGTACATGTATGCATCAAGAAATCCAAACAACAGCCAGAATATAACTGATGGTGACCACATGCGAGTGGGTATAAGGGCCATAAACGGCCAACCACTTATGGAGAAATGGAACATTGGGATACCTAAACGAGGCATTCTATAAAATCCTCTACACTACAAATGAAGGATCCTAAACAGGAAAGACCACCAGAAATTGGACCTACATGTAATATTATCATCAACAAAACACTGAATTATAAAAAGAGATGACATAATTAATAGGAGTTTTCTGCTACAAACCATCCAAAGGACCACCAGCTTCTTTTCTTGGCGCCCTTCTGCTGAGATGCCTCCTTTGATTTCACTGACTCGAGCTTAGCATGTGCAAGCAACCTTAACATACAGACGGTAATTAGTACAACATAGATATCGGAACAAAGTAAATGGGAAGATAATAAAAAAAAAGTAATATCGGTATGAAGAAAATTTCAGAACAGAAACAACAGAAGATACATATTTTCATCAAATAATACCTCCAAAGTAATATAACTTTTGAATCAAGAATCCTCTCAATCTGTCGCAAGGCAGAAATATCCACATTGGATGACTGTTGCAAAATATTAGCATAAATTTGAACATAGCGCCGTCGAAGTTGACAAAGATGCTTGATCCTTTCCCAGGAGAACAAATAGCTACAGAAGAGAAGATTTGTATAGAACTAGAAGGCTTCAAAAACCAAACAATTCATCGTAAGAGACATTGAGATTTAAAAAGATGGATAAAGGGCAGCCAAAGAAATTTTAATTTGATGGATTAAAGATTCTGAAAAGTCAAACTAAATCCATTTTAACAGAATTATCATAACGAAGGTGAAGCTCCAAAAGTTTACAAGGAATACAAAACAGACCAAAGTTTTTTCTGCTGCATGCTAGCCAGCATCGCATAGCGCCACCATGAATGAGGATCTTCAAAAATTGGCACTACAGGTCTCAAATGAGAAACCTCAACTCGTGTCTTATAGGTTGAAACTACTTCCAGTAATTTTATCCCATCATAATATTGTGCCTGAAAAATGTTGAAATGATGAGATCATTTTTACATAACTATGATAAATATCACAATCGATCATATTATTTATAAACTGCAGAGGACCTCAGAAACAGTGAAAGAAACATCACTCAAGGAAAGTGAGGCCTTCTCAAAAGGTATTTGGGGGTTCTGCCTTTCTTGCTTTCCAAGACGATGGTATTTAAGAACACCATTTATAGGGGATACCAAGTATCTTCGATCCTTTGCCCACAAAGACACAGTTCTATCACCATCAAGCTCACCAATTCCATCTTGGAAAATCTACAACGTCCAAAATTTGAAATCAATGGATTTGTATGTCACCGCATAGAGCTTAAAACAAAGTAGAACACAAGATAACCAAAATGAAATTTCATAAAACCTCAGTCCAATCAGCAGGGTTCAAATCTTCCCAGCTCATTCCAAGCTTCCATGGAATGCTGTCACTATCATGATACACAGCCAATCGCAGCAATTGGAAGGACTAGAAAAGAAGGTAATGGTTCCAGAAATTAGGAAAAGAAAAGAATGCAGTAATATGAAAAAATTGATAAACTTCCAAAGGAAATAAAAGAAAATTAAGGATCATTAGCATCAAAGACATCTCATGAGACCCAAAAAGTACACTAAAGAATTACAAATTTAATAGGGCATTTGTCTACATACCACTGAATTGTTATGTATTTACAAATAAAACATTAAAATATTTTTATTTACTTATATAGCACTAGCATCCAAACATCAAAATACATGCATGAAAAGGTATATTTCATTTTAGAAAAGTTAATGATAATGGCATTTTGGATGCTATTTAGAGATTAAAGTGTTATTTATGTAAATATAATGATGGGGCATTTACCTAAATACCAACCACTTATGTATTTAAATATCTAACACTTGAATTTTGCTTTTTTACATCTATACCACCCAAATATTAAATATTTCATATCACATTTAGCATTTAGCAAAAAAAAAAAAACTTCTAACTTTTATAAAGTGAAAATTTGAAATACAGCTTTTCCTGCATAGTTGACGTGGCATATATGTAAAAATTGGTGACGCATAGTTCTCCTGAACCGGCAGCTAAACCACTGGACCGGTTCAAGAAGGGAGGCAAGGCGGGTCGGTCAGCACAATTGTTTGGGTTAAGGATGTCGCCCAAGTGCTCCTAGTTATCTAATATTATAAATAGACGTTATTTCTTGTTTAGTGTTAGTTTTTGTTGAAATTTCTGTTTGGTCAGCCGCCAGCGTCCTCATTCCCCATCAAGGGTTGTATCCGACTGTGAGTAGATGCTTTGGTTGTAACATGTCCAAGGTAGAGACAGTCTCCAAGGGTTCGAGTGGTGCTCCATCTGTAGCTCGATCTCGCAGAGAAATTTATCCTTCCCAACTCTCCTCTGAACTCACCCTTTCTATCATTGAACCCCTCCCAGCCTTTTAGATCTTGCCGCAAACCCCTCTTGCCCCTTTCAGACCCTGTCGTAATCGCTAACAGGCCTTCCATACCAGTCGCAGCCTTCTCCGACTCTTCCAGTCGCTGCAGCAACCCGTTCCAACCCCCTCGAACAGCTACCACAGACCCCTCCACCAGCTACAGCCACTGTCATGGTGCCCTCCACTAGATCCAACCATTGTCAATACCCTACTAACCCACCCTACCGCTACTGCCTTCACAAAAACAGTTATCTACCTACTATCCAGCTGTCTCCCACCCCTTTCATCGTCGCTCTAGGGTGTCATTTTATGTTTGTTATCGTTAATTTACTGTTTAGAAGACTCGTTGTAACCAATTTGAATTTCAGCAATAATATTTTTATTTTTCATTGTGGATTGAGTTAACTCTAGTATCGATTGGTATCAAAGCTAGCTTAAATCTAGTCCTATCCTATGGTTTCCCAGCATCCTCCCCTACCCAAGCCACCCCCACCAAACACTTACATTCCTAGACACAAATCATAACCAAATCTTGACCTAACCCAAGTTTCCTCTTACTAATTTTCAAAATCGGTAACCCAAAATAGCTTTTTTGCGCCCACAATTAATTTCAAACAACATTTTTCACTTCCCAAAACCTAAAACCTAGCAACGCCGCTGAGGAGTCAATAGTCAGAAGCCGGATCAAGGGGAAAGGACACGAGCAGTGGGAAACCGCTAACAACAATAAAGGCTTGCCACTTTTGGGAAGTGGGAATCTAGATGGGTCGCCCGTAGCCACAATAGAAACTTGCAAGATCGAACGGAGTTAATCTCCATCATGTTAATTACAGGATGAAGAATCTCTACCTCAAAGATTTGACATGGAATATGTGAGAAACCAGAACTGAGAAGTAAAGGTGAACTTACCACATTTTGGCGGTCACATGGATCCTGGCGAGGTCATCAACTGGCTATGGACTTTGGAATGTATCTTTTGAGTGTCAAGACATCCCACGAAACAGAATGATAAAACTAGCCGCTAGCAAGTTGAAGAATAGAGCATTATTTTGGTGGCAAAATTTAAAGTACCTATGCCAACGAGAAGGAAATGATAAAATTACTACCAGGTTAAAGATAAAATGGGAGATGTTGTGATTGTTCCTACCAGCTCACTACAGACTAGATATTTAGACCCCATCTTGAAAAGTGAAAAGACCACATCACCGAACGATCACTACAAATTATAGACAATGTTCAACCCCAAGATGTTACAGTCAGAGAACACCCAAGGGAATATCCAAGCTAACCCGGTCAAAAGGGACACTAGTTCAGAAGGGAGAACACACGGCACCAATCTGCATTCCCAAGTCCATCCTAACTAGGAAGTGTTTCGAGTGCCACGAATTTGAGCATATTAAAATAGATTGCACAGTTAGGGGTAAGATATAGTTCACTAAGCAAGAAGCTGTTGAAGAAAGAAATAAATGACACAGTAAACACTGAAGAAAATAAGGACACAAAGAAAAAGTACCAACTTCCATCTAATAAGCAAAAATACCTAAAATTTTAGTTGAGTACATGAGTGTGACTCCAACAAAATTAACTGTGATTATCTATGACAGTCTTCAGGACGAGAACTGACACCAAAAGGCATGGAAACCCAGATAAGAGAAATTAAAACTTTTCAGATCTGTAGAATTCTTAATTTGCCCATACAGAAAAAGATTCATCATGTCAGGAGTGAGACCCTTTTGTGCCACGTCTAGAAGATTAGATAAAGTTATTCGGAAATTAGATTCAGCTCAGTAATGTACCCATCATCAAATGTCACAATAGAAGGGATGACCACTAGCTTTGAAACTGGTTTTAGGGGAGGTGAATTCTTCAATTGGACCAAGATCCTATCAATGGAAATGAGGTGTCTCATCAGTGGTTACTAGTGCAAGTGGTGCTTCCCGTTAGAGACTTCAGCCATAGTTAATTTTTCTTCACATACTTAGTTATCAGTCACATTCTTCTGAGTGCGAGAAGTGGAAAGAGAAAATTTCAAACTAAAAGGCCAAAGAATTATCTTGTAGAAACATATATCTATATGCAGCTTTAACTCAGAATGTGTCAAAAGAACATACATATTTATACTATCAAGACGTATTATGGAATATCCCCTATAGGATTGATTTACTAGGAGATTATGCCATTTCCACTATCTGCAACTGAGCTGATCTGACATCGTACTACGATGAATCAGAAGTTTCGACAAATGAAGTCATACCCCAAACCTAAGAAATACTGTCGGGATCCACTGAACCGATGGCTAAGCCGCTGGGCCAACTTAAGAATAGAGACAAGGGGGGTCGGTCGACCGATTGTTTGGGTTAGGGTTGCCGCCCAAATGCTCCTAGTTATATAATATTATAAATAGATGTTATCTTTTGTTTAGGGTTAGTTTTTGCTATGATTTATGTTTATACAGTTGTCGGCAAGCCCTTTTCTCCTTCGAGGGTTGTATCTGACAACGAGAAAGTGCTTTGGTTGTATCTTATCTAAGGTGGTGACCGTTTTCAAGGGTCTGATTGGTGCTCCGGCTGTAGCTCGATCCTGCGGAAATATTTATTCTTCCTAACTCTCCTCTAAACTCACCCCTCCATCCAAGTTTTGTTGCAAACCCCTCTAGCCCCTTTCAAACCCTGTTGTAATCCCTCACAGGACTTTCACACCCAATTGCAACCTTCTCCAACTCTTCTAGTCGTTGCAGAAGACCAGCCCAACCCCCTCCAACAGCTGTCTCAACTCCTTCCATCAGCTTCAGCTACTACTGCGGCCCCTTCCACCAGATCCAACCACAACTGATACCCTTCTAACCCACCTTATTGCTGCTTTCTTCCCTGAACCGGCCATCTACCTACTGTCAGCCGACTCCCAAGCCCTTGCCATTGCCATATAATGTCATTTTATGTTTGTTGTTATTTATTTCCTATTTTGGAGTGTCTTCGTTGTAATCAATTTAAATTTCAGGAAAATATCTTTGTTTTCATCATGGTTTGGGTTAACGCTGGCATCAATTGGTACAAAAACTACGCTAATCCTAGTGTTATCCTAGAGTTTTCCAGCATCTGCCCCTAACCAAGTCAATCCCACAAAAAAATTATTTTCTTATTCCCAAACCATGGCCAAATCTTGACATAACCCTAATTTCCTCTTACTGATTTTCAAAATCAGCAACCCGAAATATTTTTTTTACACGCGCTATCAATCTCATACACCCTCTTTCACCTCCTAAAACCTAAAACCTAATCGTCCCACTGAGGAGTCAATATTCGGAAGTTGAATCGAGAGGAAAGGACACGATGTTGTTTATAAAGAATTCACAGAGAGGTCCAATAGATTTTTAGGGAAAATATGCAGTGGAAAACCCACCAAAAACAACAAAGTCTTGCCACTTTGGAGAGGAGGCAATCTGGATAAGTCACTTGTAACCACAATGATGACTTGCTATATCGAATGCATGGAGTGAATTTCTTCCATCATTCTAATTCCAAGGATGAAATGTCTCTATCTTTAAGATTGGACGTGGAACATCTGAGAAGCGAAAATTGGAAAGTAAAGGTGGACATACAATATTTTGACAAACACATAGATCTGGGCGGGGTCATCGACTCGCTCTGGACTTTGAAATGTCTTCGAGTGTCAGGATGTCCCACCGGGCAGAATGGTGAAACTAGCCACCAGCAATTTGAAGAATGGTACATTATTTTGGTGGCAAAATCATAAGTAACTACACCAACGAGGACGAAAATTTTAAATTTCTACATGGTTCAAGAAGAAACGGGAGATGAAAAGCCAATTTCTACCTGCTCACTACAAACCAGATGTTCAAACCCCAGCTTTAAAAGTAGACATTATCGAGCGACCACCGTAACTTACACACAGGGTTCAACCTCAGGATTTTATAGCTAAAGTACACCCAAGAGAACATCATGCTGAGCCCGTTTGAGAAAACACTAGTTCAGCGGGGAGAACAGAGAGCATCAATCTGCATTCCCAAATCCATCCTAGCCAGAAAGTGTTTCAAGTGTCATGGATTTGGAAATATTGAAGCAAATTGCACAATTAGGTGTATGATATATTTCACTGTGCAAGAAGTTATTTAAGAAAAGAGCAATGACATAGTAGATACTAAAGAATATAAGGACAAAAAGCACGACTACTAATTTCCATATAATGAGGAAAAAATACACATAGTTTCAGTTGAGTCCATGAGAGAGACTCCAACCAAATTAAAAGTGATTGTCTAAGGCAATCTTGAGGTCGAGGAACAGTCATCAGAGGCATGGCAATGTCAGATAAGAGATTTAAGACTTCTCAAATCTATAGATTTCTATCCAAGTTGCCCCTATTGAAGGAAGTCCATCATATCAAAAATGAAACCATTTTGTGCCGCGTCTGGAAGATTAAATGGAGTTATTTAGAAATTAGATTCAGCTCAACAATGTACCTACGATCAAATTTCCCGACAGGAGGAATGAGCCCCAGCTTTGAAACTGGTCTTAGGGGCTTGAAGAAGAAGAAAATTCGTTAATGGAATTTAGGACCTATTAGTGAAGAAGAGATGTCTCCTGTGTGGTCGTTAGTGAGAATGGCACCTCCAGTTAGAGATTTCAACCAAAAGTTAATTTCTCTTCACATAATTGGTTATAGACTACATTCAACTGAGCATGAGAGGTGGAAAGAGAAAATTTCAGACTTAAGGACCCGAGAGTTATCTTGCGGAAACCTACATCTATATGCAGCCCCAGCTTAGAAAGTGTCAAAAGAGAATGCACATTTCCTCTATCATAGCATGATGCGGAATGTCAACGCCTACAGGATTGACCTACCAAGAGATTGCATCATTTTTGCTATCTGCAATTGAGCCAACCTAATGTCGTACTACGAGGAACCAGAAGCTTCGACAAATGAAGTCGAACCTCTCCCAACACCATGAGACTGACAAGGGGATCTCCTGAACAGGCGGCCGAACACTTCAACCGGTTCAAGAAGGGAAGCAATAGGGGCTGGCCGGCCAATTGTTTGGGTTAGGATCGCCTCCCAAGAACTCCTAGTTATCTAATATTATAAATAGATGTTATTTTCTATTTAGGATTAATTTTTGTTGAGATTCTTTTTTGGACAGCCACCAGCATCCCCTTTTCCCATTCAAAGGTTGTATCCAACGGCGACAGGGTGCTTCGGCTATAACTCGTATGGGGTGGTGACATTCTCGAAGGGTCGGAATGGATGCTCCAGCCATAGTTCGATCCTGCGGGGATATCTACCTCCCCAACTCCCTTCTTAACTCACCCTTGTTGTCACCGAACCCCTTCAATCCTTCAAGGACTTGCCGCAAAACCCCTCTAGCCCCTTTCAAACCCTATCGTAATCACTCCCAGGCCTTCCACACCTATTCGTAGCCTTCTCCAATCTTCCAATCACTGCAACAGCCTATCTAAACACCTTCCACCAGCTCCATCCGCTGTCGCAGCCCCCTCCTCCAGCTCCAACCACTGTCGTAGTTCCCTCCACCGGATCCAACCGTTGGTGATACCCTTCTAACTCAACCTACCACTGTCGCCTTCCCCGAACAATTCATCTACCTGCTATCCAGCCACCTCCCACCCCCTTGGCTTTCGCCGTAGGCTTTTGTTTTATATGTTTTATCGTTTATTTCCTGTTTTGAAGAGTCATTGTAACCAGTTAGAATTTCAGCAATAATATTCCATTTTCCATCATGGATTGGGTTAACTCTGGTATCATTAGGCACTAGATATGTGAACACACAAGAATTGTGCAGTTTGCATGCAAATCATCCTATAATTGTTCAGGCGATAGATAGGTAAATTGATAAAAATGCGGTGATATGTATGTTAATCCCCAAATTGGTAATCACCACCAAAGTCAAACTATAAAAAATCAAAAATATTCAACACCAATCCATGCTTTAAAATGTCAGACAGCTATTTAGTCAAATGAAATAGATGAAAATCATTGCTAAATATGGATCATACATGTTAGGTAACATAAACAACAACCCACTTCGTAAGTTTCCATGGCCTTTTTTTTATCAATACAGTACAAAAGAAAATACATAGCTACAAACAACCAACAACAACAGTGAGCTTCAGTCCAGTAAGGTTGTTGCGCTGAAAACACTATTTTTCCTTAGATGCCAAAAAAGAACAAATAACTTGTTTAGTCCAATGGTATTTGGTATATGCTATTGTGCCATGTTATTAGCAAAATTAGTTATGCTTAAGGGCGACTTTAAATAATATAATTACATAATTGAAATTCAGTTCATATTTTGATGACATATAGACATCAGTCAAATGCATCAACATTTAGAATTAGGCTAGTAATGACAACAATGATGCACAAAACAAGAAAAAAAAAGAGCGTAATATCAATGGTACTCTGCTTAAACTACATTGTTCAAGTCCAACTGAACCAAACACACTGCATTTAATAGATAGCAAAATCACAATAGCATAATAATCCAGCTAACACTGCCATCCAGAAAATAATTGACTAAATAAACCCTTAATGCATATGACAGGATTATAACATTATTAGCAATGTAATGACAAAGAAAAAAGAGTAATATTTTAGAACCATTAATGTCAACAGAATGTAGTAAACCATTATTTCAAGTTATTGCAATTATCAATGCTGTGAACCCAAACAACTTAATTCATTTCATTTAAGCATTGTTTGCAACGTGAACATCGTCCATAATGTATATTACCAGAAGTTAAAAAAATAAGTATCAAGCAATAATATTCAGCTCATTCAAAATTAGAAAGAAAAAAAATTCAGCTCCAAATTTTAGGCTGCTGTTGCAGGAATTATGCACGTTCTTTTTCTCCATAATAAAAGAAATAATAACATGATAAAAACTTGATGTTCCACTCAATTCTCACAACTATGATCAAATCATAAATCTAGGTCACTGAATGCTACACTGGAAACCCTACTCCAATACTCAGGACGTATGGAAAAGCTAATCAGCAAAACATCATAATCATGAGGCAAGCAGGAAGTACTGTGCCAAGAAAAAGAAAGCTTGATATTTGCATATACCTATTCTTTGTTCAATGATATCATAAATCAATTTGAATGTAGCAAAAAATTCTATATATATATATATATATAGTTTAGAGTGCCTTCTCTTGTATATATGCTACATCATTTCTCAACATCCTGTATAACTTCACTTATAATTGGCAAACATGCTCAAATGACAATCATTCACACAAAATTTCCAAAAAAACAGAGAAAAAACTAAATAAGCCATAAATCAAATACATCAATATCAAAATGCATAAGATGAAGGACACAAAAGAATAAGGTAGTTCTTGAATGTATCTAATACAAATAGAATGATATGCTACTAACCTTGCGCAATTTATCAAGAGCTCCACTAGTGTCAAAGGTCTCATTGCCCTGCTCATCGGTAGTGACAGCAGAAAGCTTTGATAATGTTATCCCAGAACAGAAAGGGTGCCCTGGATTGCTGGAACATACACTTACAAAACTTAAATATTCGCCATGAAAACATTCAAAGACTAACCTATAACAACTCAGCTTTGTAGGATGGCACAAGAATATAAAAGAAACAGCAAATAGACAGACCTAATGGAATCCTCATATCTGATATGAACATTGCTAATGGTAACTTTAAGATTTCCAATAATGGTCGCGATAAGTGAGCCCAACCATGAGTTTCCGCTGGATGCCTGTAAAATAAGAAGTTAATTAAAAATATCAGCCAACTTAATATCTTTCAAAATGGGTTAGAAGTTGCTAAGAAAAAATGAAACCTGGCAAGATATTGATTCATATTTCAAAGTTGACATACTCTGAGCAACATTAAAATTCCTAGCCTTATGGTTTGCATCCAACCCCCACCCTCACCCTCTTTATTTTATACTTTAAACTTACTAGGGATGGGATTATGTTGGCAAATAAGAGAACTACATAGCAAGGAATAATTTAAATTGAAATTACTCAAGCCATTTCCACAATCACAACAGCCAGCGTTTATTATAGAGTGCATTCATGTCTAAAATTATCCTGGTTCATCAATCACCACAGCTGCCAATGGATTCATGTTCTCCACTGCTTGCAGCCAATCGTCAAACTAATTTCCTTAGTGAAGAACACCAGCTATTGCGCAATCAGGCTGCAATGGGTGGGAGTTGTGTTTCTCATTTTTCCTTTGCTTTAAGCATTATTTTTTGCCATCTATTAATGTCCTAAATATTTCCTGACTTGTTGCATTTATTCACACGATATTTTGTTCTTGGAAAAAAAATGAAGGGCATGCATATATAATTTAATTTGTTCCTATAGCAATCTCTTTGTTGTTTTTGATGTAAATGTATATAAAAACCCTTAAATCAGCAAGAGATGCAAGAAAACCTCTCAAGAAATATAATTTATTTCTTTGGCATATTGTATAAAAAATGATCTTAACTTATTAGAATTAAATGAATATATATGATACTCAATAGGACACAATGGAGAAAAAGGATTCATGTACCCAACTTAGTCGGATAAAGGCTTGTTTGTTGTTGTTGTTGTACGGTATCAGGGAGAGGTTCTAACAGATGACCTAAAGTTCAATGGAGATCAAGCATGCCATGAAGGGTTGGCCACAAAGGCACTCTCCTGCACTAGAAGTATGAACATCGCCAAAATCAATCATGAAACAAATTTTCATTCCATGAAAATAGCTCAAAATCACTCAACACATGCTTAATGGAATTAAATTTTGTAACTAATTTTTGTGAAAGGTTCCGATCAATCATGCTTCTCATTGGATAAAGAGAAAAGGCCAAACGTCTTGGAAAAAATGCAAGAAAATAATTCAAAGAAACATCAAATAACAATCCTTGGGAAACAGAATTCTATTGTGATTGCTAGGCACATCAATTCCATGAAGCCAAAGATTAGAAGAGTATGTATCTTCTACAAAACAGATTGGAGAAACAACGTGCAGTCCGCAAGATCAACTAAGATCAAAAAAACACAGCTATATATTTTGAGATTATAACTCAAATCAAAAAAAAAAATCTGGCAAAGTAACAACACAACTGAATATTGTAACTCTGTAGCTTACTTTTGACAAGAAAAGGTTATATCTATGTAGTAGAATATAAATATTCAAGCAACGCAAAAAATATGAAAAATGGCTATTAAAAGAATGACTAAATAATTTCCTCTAAGGCCTCACCTAAAAACGATAAGAGGTTTTAGAAAGATTAGTTGGAATTAAGAATTTCCATATAATAATAGACTTGTTAGTCGCAGTAGGAGAAAATAAAGTTGAAGATGTGCCAGGATGACTAAAATACCAAACTCATCTAACACTCAAAGCTAAAAACTTGATGGATCTACAGTAATGGCCACCAATAAAAAGTATGAGGTCAAAGCACTTAAGCCAAAATAAAGGAGTTGTGTGAGTAATGTCACAAACTATATCATATCCAAGACAAGTATTCGGAGATAAATGCAAAACCAAAAGAAATGGCAAAGAGGGACATATATTGCAGAGAAATATCAAACCATGTCTCTGGGTTTCACATTTGAACAAATGGAGACGCTAAGCCTCCACTCAATCGACTAAAGAGAAAAAATGAAGCTGATACTCAAAAACAATAAAATTCTATGGTTGCTTTGACACAAAAATAATAATAATAATAATAATAATAATAATAATAATATAAGTTGTTCCTTGCTCTCAAGAACCAGAACATGTTGGATTATTAATACAAAGACATCATATCATAAGACATGCACATCCGCCTCCCAGGCAGGACGATTCATGACCGGTCTAGGGAAGAATCAATTCACTTTACAACTTCCCCCCCCCCCCCCCCCCCCCCCCCATGGGGTTAGCCAGCTCCTTGGGAACCCAATTTACCAATTTAGCCTATTAACCAGTGTCTTTTTATTGAAATATTTAAATTTGTTGTAAATTTCTGTTTGGACACTTTTTGCTTGCATTTTATGCACTAAAGACTACTCTTTGTAGTTATTTTCTAGTCAGATTGTCCCATCAGAGCCCGGCAAATACCTAAACCACCGTCATTATCTAGGCTAAAACCATAAATGCGTGAAGGGACACCAAACCGCCTAAGAGAAACATTTTAAAAGGTGTCCAAAAGCTTACATTAAAATATATGTAAAGAGAAATCCTCCAACTAAAATAAAAATCAGCTAAGTTTGAAAGGAGACAATTCAAGGAAGTCACCCATAACCATGACAGCGATTCATTTAATCGATAAAGAAAATTAAACCCTTCCGCCAATAAGATTTCAATGATAAAAAATCAATGCACTGGCATTTTTGCATGGAATATCAAAGAAGATAATAATTTTGAGGTGAAATTTTTGGCAGACGTTAAGATTCAAACAATTGTTATTCAGTGGCTCCAAACAATCGAATGATTTTTTTACTACAAGGATCTTTCTAATGACAAGAGAGTAGTATTATCATTCACCAAACTCAAGAAAAATGTTTATCTATAGTGAGAGAATTTGAAGTGTCTTCAATAGTAAAAAGAGTAAAATCAATACATGGCCTAAAATGAAAAGAGAGATGTAGTGGAAATACTTTCTCCCATACTATCAACAAGATATGTTCCCATAACTCTAAATATAAACCACAGAGATTTATCTATAGAGGCATATATAGCCGAATTTAATTAACTCATTTTGAAATATGAGTTGGTGAAAACAGGGCACACACAGCAAGGTACCTTAGAGGATTAAAGCCAGCTAATGGCAATATGGTGCAATTGCAACGTTATTGATTCTTACTCGGCGTAAAGCCCTATATTTGAAAGTGGAGAAGCAACATCATCACTAGGAGTCCAACATGCCCTACAGATAGGGCTCAACTTTAGGATTAGGCAGCAAAAGCATACCTACTAGAGCACCGAGGTCGGCTCCACCAAACAAGAAATTTGCTTAGGTAGAGAAAAGACGTGATGCACCAACACCAAAACCTTAGACCCATGAAATACTTCAAGTTCCATGATTTGAGCACATGCATCTAATTGCCCAAACAAATGGGTGATTTAATTCCCTAAACATAAAAAATGAATAGTAACATTGAAGATGCATGAGAATATAAGGACGTGAAGAAGTAACAACATCAATTCAACGAAAGAGAAATGTTAATGGCTCGACGGATCCTTCGAACTGAACCCACAAGAGATCAATGACTTCATCAAAATATTTTCTGTACTAGTAGTATCGAGAGAAAGGAAAAATGTAAAATCTTATCAAAGATGGAAGCAATTGTAAAAATGTGATGTCTACCCAAATAATATACAAGTAAAGCCTTGCTACACAGAAGAAAACACAGTGTTTTTCCCTTAGTTGAAGAAAAGGAATGAGATTATTGTCGATAAAAAATGTTTTGTAGAGTCCTCTATTGCAAACAAATTGTAAGGTCATGTGATGTAATGCGTACCTATAGATGAATATCACATCCTTATGGGTAATCCTTGGTAGTATGATCGTTGCAATTATTATGATGGCTACAAGAATGCATACACATTCCAAGGAAGGTGCATCACACCCTTAGGAGCTCAAGGCAATAAGCATCCACAAAAAATCTAAGACTAAATGACCCATCTTATCTTCCTACCAGCCTTGAGAGTTTCGTATTAGTGGTCTCAGAAAGCAGTGGATTCGAGAAGCTAATACCATATATAGCACCTCTACTGAGAGAAGTTAAGAATATTCAAACCAATTGTCTACCTACTCGTTCACTATCACTAAGGGAGATACCATAGATTTTGTTTCATGGTCTATTCTCTCAATCCAACCTACCTACCAAATGTGCTCAGTTAAACATGAGTTGCACAAGCAAGTTATAGATTTGATGGCTACAGCCTGTGTGCAGTTTCAGCTCTAACTATGCCAAAGAATGATTACTCTTAGCATATGTGTATTGATATCAAGGTTATGAATAAAATCACCATCAAGTATCAATTTTTCATTCCACAGTTAGATGATTATTGAATCATCTACAAAAGATCAGCATATTCTCTTATATTAATTTGTGTAGTAGTGACCATCGTATCAAGATAAAATTAGGAGAAGAGTGAAAGATAACTTTCAAGACCCAAGATGGATTGCACGCCTACAGTCATGCTTTGTGGCTTGTCCAATGCGTCGGGTACTTTTATCGGCTGATGAACAAGGTTATGAGAGCATTTATTGGAAAAGTCATTGTTATAAATTTTGATGATATCTCGGTGTACAGCCGTACCAAATAGAATCACTTAAAGCATTTATGGGAGATTTTAAGGTACTTTGAATAGCACAATCTGAGGTAGAACCAGCCTGCTTTTGAGGAGGAGGAGGTGGTGGTGGAGGAGGGGGTGCAAATTTATTACATTAATAAATTTAATGTTTGTGACACTACACTATTTAGATAGCAAAATATATTTTTAGGCCACTTAATTTGAATCACTTGAAAACTTCTATAAAAGTTTAAAAACGCTAATATTCTGATATGACCATGCCATAAAATTATATTATTTTTTTAATCTTTAATATATCAATAGAAATGATAATTTAATTTAAAGCTTTAAATTATAATCAACTCAAAATAATAAAGTATACACTCGTCTAAACCTAGAATTTAATATGAAAATATATTAGTTTAATATATTTATAACATACTTTAATAAGTAATTATTACATGAATATATATATTG